ACCCTGAGGATAACTGGTCTGCCTGTTAAAGACTGAGGCAAAGAAGGCATTAAGTACCTCAGCCTTTTCCTCATCCTCGGTGACAATGTTTCCCCCTGCATCCAGTAAAGGATGGAGATTCTCCTTGGCTCTCTTCTTGTCATTAATATATCTGTAAAAACATTTTTTGTTGTCTTTAACGACAGCGGCCAGATTGCGTTCTAGCTGGGCTTTTGCCTTTCTCATTTCCTTTCTGCATGACCTAACGAGATCCCTGTACTCTTCTTGAGTCGCCTGCCCCTTCTTCCACAGGTGGTAAATTCTCCTTTTTTTCCTGAGTCCCAGCAAAAGCTCCCTCTTCAGCCAGGCCAGTCATCTTCCCCGCCCGTTCTTCTTATGGCATATAACATACAGCATATTACCTCTCACATCTTTGTTGTTAGCAAGTAGACTCTCAGTGTTGTTCAGAGACTTTTCACAGCAGATTAAAAGATCCACCAGATTTGAACTGGTTCTGGATTGGGTGAGACAAGAAGATCTAGCATCTTAGAAACCTCACAGTGGATACACTGTTAGAGGCGGCCTTTATATCTGGGCATTCTGGGTCAACTGTCTGAATCAGATCTGTGATGATAATACTTACCTATGTTTCAGTAACTGTAAAGGATTGTGTGTTTGTGTGTTGTGGACTGAAAACAGTGAGATGGCACAATCTTTATGGATTTATGTAGAATATATCTGATTTGAGATTGTTCTTGTGGATTTTTTTCCAGATAATGGGATCCATGAGAGTGCTGTCCTTCATTGCAGATGGATTCTATATATATTACCCAATGCTTGTTGTCATTCTCTGTATTGCCACATACTTTAGGTAAGTGATTTGCAAGGCAGATCCTCCATGTTTCTTTACATTAATATTCGTTTCAGCAATCAGGAAGAGATTCACTTCTCCTCTTCCAGCAGTTGAGTTGTGAAATATTAATAAAAATGCAAAAACTAAAGCAATAAATTTCTATTTATGTATGTTAAATGTGTACATTTTAAGAATATCTATTGTATTAACTCATAACTGAGTTGTGGGGTTTTTTTCCCCATTAAACTTCATTCCTAGATTTTGAGGTCTGATCTGTTCAAACTTTGGAGCCCACAAACATTCAGATTCTGCTTTTGAGATTAAAATTACTATGAGGAAGCTATGTTTTCAGCAAGGTTTTCTAATAAACTAAGAAGCATTAGCAGAAACTTTAGGTAATGAACTTTCTAACAGACTCATAACAAATTTCTGATCAGTTACCAGACTTCAGTTTGAAAGCATAGTGGTTTAAATCATTTGATCTTGTTTCCTTAAGCCACAGGTTGCTGGAGGCTGGAAAGGTAATTGCAGAAAATACTGTTATATGCTTGCTTTATCTTTACGTTTCAAAATGTCTGCTTTTGACCACTGTAAGGGATGAGTTACTTTTGGTCTGACGTTGCTCGGCTACATTTATGTTCACTTCTTCAATTTTGCATTACCATTTAGTCAGAAGCAATGTATATGTTTTGAGTCATGTAGAATGTAGTTAAATGCCTTGAATGTCCATTAGTATCCTATGTGCATCCATAGATAGTAAGACAAGGATCCAGTCCTAGGTTTTCCCCGCTTACCTTTAGGTTAGGTGACAAAAGTGGTGGTGGAGGCAAAAAAAAAACCCACAAAAAGCAAACAGGAAAGCCAATGACAAGAAAATAGTTTGTGTGACTTCTTGTCCATGATGATCCTGGGTCTTGAATGCCATAGTGAAAAGGAAGAAAAGAAACTAAAGGAGAGGAAATTGCTTTGCTTGAACGTTAATGCCCTCTAATAATTCAGATACATGCAAAACTGAATGTTTAAAATCTATCAAGGAAAGCTGTCTCCCTTGTTTAATCCAGCAATCTTAAAGTTCAGATAGTACAGGAAAAAAACTTTTCAGCATAATATACAATGAAGTCAATTTTGAACATGATATTGATGCTCCAGTTTGGAGCATCAAATACAGTTTGATGCTCAGTAAAAAACAATAAACCATAACAAAAACGACAGTTGTGTTCTCTGGTGTGAAGTTGGAAAGGTGAAAGTGGTTTCATGCTATTTAGTTCCAGGACTAGCTTAAAGATGGAGCAAGCTTATTATCTGACTGCTGCCTAATGGCTATCCAAAATGGCAGCCAGCATCCCTGCAGCTTAAGAGTATGCCACACATTTCTCCTGAGTAAAACATGAAATGAAGGTGGCTTTCTTATGTTACTACTGTTTCAAAAACACAGAAATCATAATACACAAAATTTTTATAGTAATTGTCTTCTGTCAAAGAGGAGTCAGTAAGATATCATAGGTATAAATTCCGTTATATCTGAGAACATTTCAAGCAATTGTCTATCTTAAATCATTTGCACTACTCAGACTATAAATAGTCTTATCTCTCTGTTTCAGTAGGATTATTCCATCACTTTGAATTGGATTTAGGAACGTGTCACTGTTCTGAATGTTCTGATTTCTCAGCTAGTATAATAATCTATCTTTTCTTCTATATTGCTTTTTTACTTGAATTGTATATAAATATCTGAATAATTTGTTTTACATTTTGCAGTGTAATACATCTAAACTATTAATTGTAAATTAACAAAGGACATTGCTTCTCCTTCTGCTTTTACCAGTTTAGGAACTCGTTGTTTGAATCTTTTGGGATTCCAGCAGTTCATGGGGGATAGCGAAATGACCTCTGATTTGATTGATGAAGGAAAAGAGCTAATCAGAAGAGGTAAGATAGGTCCTCTATCCTAGTCTTCTTGTAAAATATAATCTGTTATTACATTAAACTTGTCTGAAATGTTACACAAAAAATAAAAGCATGTAGCTTGTCAATATTTTGAAAACTGTACTGAGGCAGTCTACTGCACAAAATGCAATAGACTTACCGCATTGTGGTTGCTATATAAACAGCACTGGACTTCATTGACATCTGAAGTAAAGTATCAGCTTTACTCATCCAGTATCTGAATTTTAGATATTTTTATATATTTTACAGTTCAGTTAAGTGGTGCTCCTCTGAAGTCATTACTGATCTAATAATACCTGAGCAGGTGCTTGTGTAGTCTCTCATAGGCATAACTATCAAAGGATAGTTAGCACTTAAATTGTCTTTATCATCAACAAACTCATTTTAATCTTTCTTTGTGTAAGTGTGTTGATTGAGCTGCCCAAATTCTGTCATTTCCTTTAGGATTTTTTGCTGTTTCAACTAACTGTGTTTTATCACACAAAGCATGTTGTTCTGTAGAGCTGTAATTATCTGCTGTTTTGGAGAGCTTTTTATGTTAATTTTTATTGAAAGTGTTTCTTGAAAGTTGTTAAAAGCTGTTGTGGTTCTTGAGTAAATGTTTAGAAATTAAAATCTCTGGATACAATGTTATATTATGGAATACTTTCATTGCCCTTTCATAGTTTATGAAAAACAAAAGCTAGATTTACTTAGAGTAGTAGTATTTCTTTTTTTGGAGAAAGAGTAATGTCTCATTCCCTTAAACAAGAGGTTACTGTTTCTTTGATACCGTGATGTTACACTTTCAGCTCAGTAGCAGATAAGGACACAAACTATTAGGGTCATACTTTTTGCCTCATAGAACTTCAGCAAGATTTTGATTCAATAATGCTCAAGTTTCTTCTTAATGCCATACTTCTTCCAACTATTTCTAAGAGGTTTGGGTTTTTTTGCTTTGCCAGCTGGTATCCAAATATTATGCCTTGACCCAAGATATCATTGTAATGAATTCATTTTAATAGGAAACTCTGTAACAAGCAGCTTTGTCTTTTGTCTTTATTTAATTGTATGAGCCATCTATTTCAATAAGAATCTTTGCTAGCTAACTTTGGATATTCATTGTTTGTTTAAAAAAAAATTGGTAATGATTTTTCTTGTATGGAGATACAGACAATTTTTTTTATTTATAGAGAAAAGAAAACGACAAAGGCAGGAGGAAGGTGAAAACAGAAGAAGGGTATGAGATTGTTTTAACTAATTATAATATTAATATGCTACAATATCTGATAGGATTTGCTATTGCTGTTTAATTCAGAATGATCTGTTTCACAAAAAAATAAGTCTCCAATAAGTGATGGAGACAGTTTAATCTTGCAGAATAGTCTTGGCTGGGGGGGGGGGGATAATTTAAATTTTAATTTTAAAGGATAAGAGAGCAATTGTGGTCACACTACTTGGAAATTTTTGTTACTCAGTGTGCTGTGAGAATGGTGTATGCCAATAGGTGTAACAAGCATTAAAAAGGGTCCTGATTTCTAGGATGCAGAATAATCTGAAATTGCTTATTATCAGTCTTTTATGTTGATACTGCTCTGCTTGAAATAACTTCAGTTGCAGTGTCATCATATTCACTGAGATGGGGACTGTATGCTCCTCCCAAACTTAGCCATTGCTTCATGTGCTCATTGGAAAGTAATTAGCACAGATTTATTTTTGTTTTTACAGAGGAGGGAATTACATTTAAGACAGAATTAATACTGTTACCACTGAGTAACAAACAGAATGTTTGATTCAGATCATACTTTGAGCGTATACTGAATTGAAAGATTTGTGAAGGCAGTCAATCTGAATAAAAAATAATTCAGGCAGCTTCATTTTAAGCAGCTTCAGTTAATAATAGCTTTAGTTTTTCATTAATTTATAACATTTGGAATTTAGCATAGAAAGTCACAGATAAATCGAAAGGATGCATGCAAAAAATGAACTGACTAAAGGAAGGGGAAAATACTTTCTGCACAAAGGCAAGATAATACTGGGACTAAAACTTCTCGGCTTTTCAAGCTCAGGGATACTTAAATTATGGATGACAGCCATCGGCTTTTCAAGCTCAGGGATACTTAAATTATGGATGACAGCCATCGGCTTTTCAAGATATTGCATAACCTTCTGATCCTCTCGCCCCCATCTCATAATTTTAGAACTTGAACTTACTGTGAAACCAAATAGTAGCAACTGCATGATACATTTAGTATACACTGAAATGATCTGACATTAAGCAACAATTTTAGTTCAACAGCAAACTCAATTTCAGATGTTACCTGCTTTTTGAGTTTGCATTAAATACCGTAGCACGTTCATTCTTGAAACTTTTGGGGCTTTTGAGAGTGGTATCTTTTACTGGATCGTGATTAGATGCTTGAATCCTTCTGCAGCTTGGAGCTGTAACATATGGCATAAATCAGCACAGTAACTTTGAGTATACCAGTTCCTACCAGTCCATAATCTGGGATCTAGATATGAAGCTGAAACATATTAAAGTTATTGCAGCAATTGGAAAAGTTTCTACTGACATGTTTAATAAGAGCATGAGACATTATCTTCTTTAATATTTCATTATACTTCATACTAAAATGTTTACATACTAAAACATGATGGAATGGGAACACAATAGAACAACAAGCTTAGTAAACATGGCCTATGCAAATGGTTATTTGTGCTATCAGCATCTCGTTATTTTACTATTCTACCCCTAGATGGAAGTAGAAATCAAAAAAAGCAACGTTCCCACTGTAACTTAGGGCAGTTGAGTGAACTTTGAGTGCAAATTTAACATGCAGTTTGTTTTCTGCAAGTCTTTTTTCTATAGAACAGCTATGGTAACCGGTTTAGTGAAGGGACATATCTTGAGTTTGAAACAAAACGAAAATTCTTCCTGTATCAAGATACTGAATGGGAACATTTTCAAAGTATTACTTTCGTAGTCTGATGTGATTGACCAATTAGCTCTAAATTGTGAGTCTGGAATATTTCTTGATCCTATGTATGCTTTTGCTGTGTTACTTTTTCCTCACAGCTTGTGTTTTCTTTTTATGTCTTTTTTCCAGGAATGGAAGGAGCGGTATGGAAATAGAGACGATTCCACTAGAAACAGAGCTGTCCACACAGACCAAAAAGAATCCAGCTTCTCAGAGACCAATACCAACAGATGTAAGCTTTGTGGGTTTTGGAGGGAGTTTGTTTTGTTTTGTTTTTTTAATATCTTGTCTGCACAATACTGGCTATGTGAGTAGCTTCAAATGGATTCCTTTTTTCTTATATGATGCGGTGATATATTCTCTTCTGTGGCACAGTGTCATCTTGCCCATTAAAGACACCTGAAAAGAGTGCTGTATTTCTTCCCATCTTCAACACTTCAACTAGTTGAGGTTGGAGATTGTGGCTAGTCTCAATTACTTGGTCTTCTTACGGGACAGGTGATTGCCATTAGAATAGCAGTTGTCAACAAAGAGACTTTATTTAGGATGTGTCTTGAAGTTGGGAGTTTTAAATCTTAAAATTTACCTCTTCTAGTTGCAAATGAACTCTCTCAGACTGGAATAATGGAATAATCAAATAAATGGCCAATGAATGTAAAGTCAGTAACATATCACACGAGTGTATACATGTTCATTTAATAATGTCTCTTAGCAAAAAACTTTTTTGTGGATGCACTAAACTTCCAAAAGGCTTATTTGTCACAGTGTTAATGTTTTTTATGTACTCTTGTAAGCTAACAAGAAGTGAGAAATGAAACTGAAAAAAAGAAGGAAAAAGGGGGAGGAGGGAAGCTTTGAACATGCTTTTGAAACAACTCTGGTAGATTTCCCCCTCCTCTTTACAAAGTTGGAAACCTGGATTTTCAGTGGGAGACTAACTGAAATTATATGTAATTATCTTTTAATGTTAAGCATATGAATATGGAATCATAGAATGGTTTGGGTTGGAAGGAAACTTAAAGATCATCTAGGTCCAACCCCCCGTCTAGGGGCAGGGACCCCGTCCGCTAGACCGGGTTGCTCAGAGCCCCATCCAACCTGGCCTTGAACACTTCCAGGGATGGGGCATCCACAGCTTCACAGGGCAACCTGTTCCAGTGCGTCACCACCCTACAGTGAAGAATTTCTTCCTTATATCTAATCTAAATGTACCCTCTTTCAGTTTAAAGCCATTACCCCTTGTCCTATCACTACATGCCTTCATAAAAAGTCCCTCTCCAGCTTTCTTGTAGGACCCTTTAGGTACTGGAAGGCTGCTGTAAGGTCTCCCCGGAGCCTTCTCTTCTCCAGGCTGAACCTCAACTCTCAGCCTGTTTTCGTAGGAGAGGTGCTCCAGCCCTCTGACCATCTTCGTGGCCCTCCTCTGGACTCACTCCGACAGGTCCATGTCATTCTTATGTTGGGGGCCCCAGAGCTGAACACAGTACTCCAGGTGGGGTCTCACCAGAGCAGAGTAGAGGGGCAGAATCACCTCCCTCAACCTGCTGGCCACGCTTCTTTTGATGCAGTCCAGGATATGGTTGGCTTTCTAGGCTGCAAGCATACATTGCCGGGTCATGTTGAGCTTCTCATCAACCAACACCCCCAAGTCCTTCTCCTCAGCATTCCATATGTAGCATTCCAACACCAAAACAAGCTGTAGGTGCTGGCCTAGTGAAGGTGGCAGAGTGAACTGCAAAACAACTATATTTCATTAACTCATGAGATTGCCCCTTTAAAAACAAACCAAACCAAAAAAACCCTCTAGCTAGCTTAGTTAAAGTAGGAAGTTGGGAAGATGAATGGATGATTTATTGATTTAAAAGTAAAGTTTGCATATAACTTCTCATTTTCTTTGATTCTTTGCAAAGTAGATCTCATCCTACTTGAGGGGCAAAAGAAAAGTTGTAGTTACATTGCTCTGGAGATACAAAAATGAAATACTACAAATTTGAGCATGTAGCCAGGTTTGGTTTAATATTGAATCTATTCTAAATCATTGCACTTACACTTTGGATGAGTTACTAGCAAATTACTATTCTGGTCGTTTAAGTTTGATGTCTCCACACACTCCAAGATGTTCATAGAGCAAATGAGTGTCTATCTTTCCTTTTACCTATTCAGCACTATCAAAGTATACCCGATCAAATGGCAGGACTGAAAGAGATAGAATAGAACTCCTCCAGGATGCAGAACCTTTGGATTTTAATGCAGACTCAATTAATGATGACCCTCTTGAAGCGGACTCGGGAAGGTGAGGAATCTTCTGTGTTATTTACAACTAAAATGTACTAATGTATTCTGTCTTCTGACCTATGACAGCTGTATCAGATGGTATCATAACAATAGTTTTGTGAACAAAATTTATCATCTCACCTAGCTCTTTCCCTTTCTTCCTTTCCCCCCATGATACCGGAATTGTTTTAAAACCAATTGAAACATGAAGGCTTTTCAGTTTTTTAGAAATGTCTGAGTAAGATTTGAGTTGAATGTAATTTTGTATATTGGCATAATCTGAAAAATACTGCATATAAAACCAGAAAACTGGAGAATGACCTGCATATGTACAATATAAAGTTTTCTCTAATTTCCTACAAGACTTTAGAAAGCTCACTTGATTTCCATGTATAAAAACCATCATGAAGGGCTGCAATAAAGAAAACTGAGTATTGCAGGACCAGTAGTTGCAGGAATACACCTGGGGATCAGATCTTGGAACTACTGGACTAAATTAAAATCTGAACATACTGAACAAAACGTCCCAGACTGCACAGTGTAGCTCTGTCTATCATAGAGAATTCTGTGATTCTGTGGGTGTGACTGCAACACCAAATTTCCTTAGTCGAGAAATAGAGTATCTTATATGACTGCTAAGCTCTGCTCATATTTAAGAAACAAGTAATACATTTTATGGGTGCTTTTTTTATCTAGCTAGTTATGCTGTAGAACCATTTAATGATAAATAATTTTAAATTCCCTTATAAAAAGTTACAGTTTACATTATTTTTCAGCTAAAACTAGCATACCCAATCCAATAAAAAAGCCATAAATGGTTTCAGTTGACTTATATCTATAATGTCAACAAATAAATGCCAGTTCAAAAACATGCAAAGAATGCTGTTAAATAACACTGCCAGGTTTAACAGATTTATTCATCAATGTTAGTTTGTATCAACAACTAACTAGTCTAATGTCACCACATTTCAAAAGTTGATTCTTTTTAAGCAGAAGAGTTTAAAGAGGAACTAGCCTAGCAGTTCTGTCAGCTGTTGACTTCCTTACAGTGTGAAAGGGATAATAGTCTACAAAAGTAGGAATTTGCATATGTAACTCTTCTGGAGCAAATACTTTTAAAGTACAGTATCTGAAGTCTTCTGGCACCTATACAGACTTTGCAGAGTAGAACATTCTGAACTTTCTCTTTAAAAAGAAAATCCGGAGCCACAGAGCTTAGTTGAGCTTTCCTCTAATAATCTGTATTTCATTTCATGGAGGTAATAAATCAAGAATAATTGCGTATGAAATTTCAATTGACTTAATACCTTGTGTGACATTGATTTTTCAAAACTATAGCTCCTGCAATAGTTACAAGCATTCTAGGACAGTAAGAGCACTAGGGACACTAGGTTCTGACTTTGTGTCTGTTCAGGTTTTGGTAAGTACTGTGGAGAGGAAGTACATTGTGCTTTCATTGGAACTTATTTGTGCTTTTAAAATGCTTTTAAAATATGTTTCACCAACAATTTGTGAAGCTTCTTTTTTTCCCACTAAGTATGCAGCCATTTGTTTTCATTATCTGTGATACTGTATTTCTCTTAGGAATACCCAATGAGATGTTAATCACCCAAACTACTTTTGGATGCTGTTGTTCTTCTTTTGCTTTTTTTTGTTTAAAAAAAAAAAAGTTCTGTTCAACAAAAACATTCAACTTCTTTCCTTTGTATCAGGAAGCAAAGTTATTTAAGACTCCCAGTATTCATATCACTGTTTTTCTTGGTCACATGAGGTTTAATTTAATGACTGCCTATCAAATTCTCATGGAAACAGTAATTCAGTAGAAATGCAGATCCTGTAATTCATTAATTGATAGTTAAGGAGTATGAGTAGAGTGAAATTTATATGATTTCATGGGTCTTTATTTTTCTATTTCCTATGATAGTTTTTCATATTTAAAATTGATTCTGCAGGTACCAGCCTGGTGGAAGATACCTGTCAATGTCTCGAAGCAAAATATTTGATGATGTCTAAACTCTTCAAAGCTAAAGAAAATTCAGCAGAAATCTTTTTCCTACTCATTGCTTGGAAAATACTGTATTTATGATATATCACGGAACCAGAAAAGACCATTTTTGTTTAAAAAAAGAATATGAAGGAACAACTATTTTGGAAGTGCACCTGTATAACAACTTGACTACTTATGACAAGCATATGCTTCTTCTATTGTAGATATTGGATATTGTTGTGCATCAGTGTGGGCTTTTGTGTCGTGACCAAAAGGAGAAAACTATTAATTAAGTAAATAGAGGGTAAACTTCATAAATATACCTAGAGCTCAACTTGAACTGTAACATTGTAAGTTTAAGGAAGAGGATTTTTTGGAAGGAATTTTTTTGTATTTTAACAGATGCTGTGAGAGCATCTTAATGCATCCAAAGTGCAGTTATATCAATTACTGTAGTAAACACTTTCTATAATTTTTCTATTTGAGCTTTATGCCTAGTCCAAAATCTACTGAATTAAGTTAAGGTTTCTTTTGGCTTCAGTGGTCTTTGAATCAGTCTGTGTATAAGCAGAAAGATTGAATGGCAGGCTGTTCTTCATAAAATCATAAAACACATGTTCCAGTATTTAAAGGGTGGCTACAAAAAAGATGGAGACTCCCTTTTTACAAGGAGTCACATGGAAAAGACGAGGGGTAATGGGTGCAAGTTACTCCTGAGGAGGTTCCGATTGGACACAAGAGGAAAATTTTTCACAATGAGAACAATCAGCCATTGGAATAGTCTCCCCAGGGAAGTGGTGGATTCCCCAGCATTGGACATTTTTAAGTTTCGGCTGGACAGTTTCTAGACTGTGCTTTTGCCAAGAAAGGTTGGACCACGTGATTCTTGAGGTCCCTTCCAACCTGGTATTCTGTGATTCTATGATTCTATGAAATTTGGTGGCATAAATTTTGGAGCAAGGTGTATTGGTCAAGAAAGGCAGTATTTTTTCTTTTCCAACATTATATGCAGATAAATGATTTTAGCATGTGTAAATAGTTGACATTGAATATGGACCAGAGTTTCACTGTCATATGAGCATATGTGCAATAGCAAGAATACATTATCGAAGATACGGTGTCTGCTTAAGATTTTTACAGTTGTAACAGTTGAAAATCTTGGCACACTAATGTTTTTGTTACTGTAAAAGAAATACAATGTGAAAATTGAGCTAGATGCTGAAACATCATGATTTGCACACACCTCAGGCACGGCTTCAAATTGTAGAGTATTTCTTTAAAAGAAGGGAAATACATAGCATGACTAGATAATGGTAAACACTTTTAATGTCCCAAATGCCCTGGTTGCATTATGTATCTGTTTCTATGGTGCCTGTATTTTGCAGTAAGTTGTTGCAAAAATAATAATGCTTATTCATTTGAATGCCATTCAAAAATGCCAATTATTAACAGTGTAAAAAAGCTTCACATTAATTTCATTGGTGTAGATACACGTTTAAACCGTAGTTAGTTGAATGAATTTTCAAATGTAATCATAAGGTAAAAGATGTGGTCAAATTCATGATATCTTTGGAAATTTGATTAATTTAAAATGTTGCTTTGCTGCAGTTTGTCTTCAGTCTTTACCACTTGGGAGTTTTCTTATGTGCTTATTGCAAAGTTATGTTGAAAACTGAAAGAGAACATGTTTCTATCATAAATTCTTTACCATGCTTAAAAACCAGACATCCCTTAAAGCAGCTAGGAATGAGTTACTCTGAAAAGTAAATTTTCATGAATGAGGTATTCTACTAATTTTTAAAAACAGTCTTTGTTTTCTGAAGTAATTGTTAATGGGAATCTAACTACCTCCTGTGATTTAGTACATCATGCGTTCTAACAGTAGTGATATTTGTAATATATTGATCTGCCTGTTTTAAAACACTGAATTGTTACTATGAAGGTACTCTGTATAGAAAGAATTATATTAATAAATTGGCAGACATAAAATAATCGTCAGTTCTGTTCTTAGGTGAATACACTGAACGACAGCCATACCCACATGTATTCAAGCTCATGCAATTTCCAGATTCCCTGTAAGAGGGCACATTTCCAGTTTGGATATTTCCTGTATTGTAAAAGCTTGATCAAAATCTTATGGCTGTGTCAGGGACTGGAAGTTGAGAAAACAAGACTATTTTTATTCAGATTGTTCTTTAGCAGCTTTATGTTAGCACCTATTTAATTTATTTTAGATCTACTTAGAAATGCTATCCTGAATTCAGCTTTACATGAAAGGGGTTGTATATGTTCTTGGACACCCATCCACGTGAATGTTCTTAGACTTGATATTTCTATTCTTAAGATTTGTCTCTCACTTAATTGCCCAAAAGTTTGTTTGTAAAAATCTTTGGATGAAGGTTCTTTGTTTAACTCTTGAAATGTCACTACAAAGGGATCTAATTCAGTGCTAACAGAAAAATTATAGAAGGAACGTTTGTTTTTCTGAATGCTTGTGCAGTATCCTTACCTCGGCCCTGCTGACTTCAGAGATTTGGATCAAGCCTTCCTGGGGCCTGTTTTTTCCCCTCTCAGAAGTCAGTGGAATGGCTGCAAACAGAATTTTCAGTGGAAACTTGGTCAGGATTTTATATACAAAAACTAACTAGTCCCTGGAGTAAGCCCTCTGTGCGGTTTTCGTTGGGATACAATAATTTGAGGAGTTGACTGTATAAATTAATGGCAGTGGGATTTCAGTTGCTAACATAGAAATTCTGAGCTCATTGAGGTGGGAATCCACTGACCTTTTTTTGATGTTGCAGTGAAGTAGTGGAGTAACCAGTGGCTGCTTCTTGAAAGCATGGGAATTAGGGCTCTGAAAATCTCTCAAGAGTTCTCCTCTGGATTGCGCTTGGAGATCCCTGGTGTCACATGCTCCCTGGATGCTGGGTGTTTAAGAAAGAAGTTGATAAGTGAAGTCGGGTTTCTTCCATAGTGTTCATTGCTGACCAACAGTTACTCTTGCTCTAATTATGTGCAATTTGTAGGCCAGTTAATCTACAGTGCGTTTTGAAAAGTAATTATGAGTTCATATGACTAAATCCGGAAGACTTTCAACAAAGAAATACAGAGTAAAACTATAAAAGAACATTGTAGAAATAAGGGATATGCCTGCACAGCATTTGCTGTGTACTTGAGGTAGTTTTAAACTAGTTTGGTTACTGCTAGTACAAATAATGCAGACCTTGCTTGAGGGCTACGTGCCTAAGGACTTACCCCACTCCAGAGAGGTGGTGGATGCCCCGTCCCTGGAAACATTCCAGGTCAGGTTGGACGGGGCTCTGAGCAACCTGGTCTAGTTGAAGATGTCCCTGCCCACGGCAGGGGGGTTGGACTAGATGACCTTTAGAGGTCCCTTCCAATCCAAACCATTCTATGATGATTCCCAGCCAGATTGCGGCAACTCTTAATGAGTTCTTTGCTACTATAGCTCTAGTCCTAACAGTACCACAGCTAAAAAAAAGTTAAAACTAGCTTTGATATGTTTAAGCAGTGACCCTAATGTAGGCTAATGGTGTTCTTGCATCACATTTGATGCTCCAGATTACGTGATTTAAAATATAACTGCCTTGCAAACTGCTTTTGGGAACTGAATGTTGGTGTATTTATTCTGTCAGTATATAGTCATATTTATTTGCAGCTAAAGAATGTCATGTATGTACGTATTTATTATTTCACTTTCTGAATTACTGAGCAGTTAGAGTATACTTCCATTTCATCATCATTTCCGCAGTTTCCTCTTCATCTGTGAACACCAAAAAAAAACCAAAACACCAAAAAACCCACCCAAGTTAAGTACAGATGTTTGAATATCTTCATGTCAAAGATTTAAACCAGTAAAAAGCATCCATGCAAGTTGTAATGAACTTTGAAAAGCGGGAGTGAAAACAGTAGCTACTTAAATACTGTGTCAGTGTTGGATTTCATATAAAGTATGGAGAGCAAAAAGCTCTAGTCAAACTTCCTACTCCTACTAGATTTGTAGTTCTGTTTTTTCAGGCATTTAAAAATATATGTATTCTGATATCTATATTGGGAAATGAGTCCTCTGCACTTTGCTTAAGAAAGGTGCATCTCTTAGCAGTGAAGTGGGGGAGTCTTTTTATGAGGGAAGGTAAAGGATATGCAACTTCTAGTCTGTGCTAATAGTGACAGTTTGTGCAAACTATGATATGTTTTATTATTTAGGTAAGAAACAACAAACTTTATACTACTGCAACTTAAACTCCTGGAAAAATCATGCTATATAATCTGCCTTTATTTTGCAATCAAGCATTTGTAAAATAGTCATTAACAGTATTAATGGGAATGGCAGAAAGCTGCTATCTTTTCAATATTTGTTCTTGATATTTTAAAACATAACCATGACAATGATTTTTACATATGAAGTAATAAAAAAGTGATTAATCTGATTTTCTGTAATTATGATAATTTGTATTTTATTAAATTTATCTTGGAATACTGTAAATGTTATGTGAAAATTATAATATTTTGTTCCAATTTTCATTATTGCTGTAATTACTTGCAATCTGAGGGGCATTTACAATACCAAATAGAGATCACTTTATGTAGGAGAACTTTTTATGAGGCTTCTTAAAGAAATCTGACCCATTCATTATAGGCAAGTATGTGCATCTTAATTATTAACAAAAACACTACTTAGGGTATACATTGTCTCCTAGCTTTTAATTTTTCTTCAAAATTCAGAAAATGGTTAATTTTTTCAGAGCAACTTATTTGTCAATCTTGTAAACTTTCTGAAATTTTTACATTCCTTTTCCCTAATGGGCTCTGCAGGAATATGTACTGCTTTACGGCAGTTCTCTAATACTAGCTGTGCCTCTAATTAAGTAGTCTAGTCTGAAGCTGAGACACTCCTACGCCATTTGATTATGTTAACAGAAACTCAGCAAAAAAGCACTTTGAACTAGATCTCTTTCTAATACATTAATTGCTATCATTTATTATGTTGCATTATATTTGGTATCTTCTGTTTCAGTCATATGGTACGCCCAATCAGGTTTATTCTTTGTTTCTATTAAAATGCACTGGAATGTATTCCTCAGCGTGCGTGTGTGTGTGTGTGTTTTATTTGCAATTGGCAGGCAATAATAATACACAACTTCAGTTATTTCTTCAGGATAATGTTGTTGTATTTGACATATTCCTGTGAATGGTAATAGTTTCAGAGTGATGGCTCAGTTACCACTGTAGAAAGTAATTATTTTCCATAGAAATACCTTATATTCCTGTAAAGGTATCTGGAAGATAAGGGAATTCATTTGTGAGAACAGGGTTAGTAATAGAAGATCTTCATTCTCCAGTGTATGTCAAGATAGGCTGTAGGAGTGCTGCTTATGGATAAACTATCTTCTTTTGCCTTATGATACAAGTATGTATGCATAACACCTTGTTTTGAAATTCACTTGAGTTACAAATTTTTCTCTGTAGTGTTCTAAATTATTGTACTGGATATATTTTTGAAATGTGTGTTAAAGTATCTAGTCAAAGAGTTAAGTTGGCATGAAATAAATCATTTCTGCAATACATTTTCCCTGGTATATTTTAGATATTCATACTTCTCTGAAGTGTTTTTGGTCGTGATCTTTTAGAGAAATTTGACCTATTTCTTTTTTCAGGTAGAAATTAAGTTTACTTTAGAAGACAATCCAACTGTGTTTTAGTAATCTTTTTGCATCTTCTTTAAAGCAGATTAAAAAGGGAAATTGAGAAGAAGCTTGCGTACCTGGACGTGTCGTTGTCAGAGTCCGTGGATGAGACTTGGACCTACACTTTGGGCCGGTACCTTTATTGACAGCTCACCCCAATTGTGGAAGCACAAGCAGCTTCTACGAATGCAGGGAGACGGAGAAGTGCAGCCAGGCTAGCTGACGATGTAAGCTTCCTGCAGTGCCTGGAGGAAGCCTGTGAGGACCCTGTGTGCTCCTGGGGCTGACTGGGCACTGGCTATTTTTGTGGGGCATAAGGTGGGAGGGAAGGTAGGGCTCCTACACCGCTCCCTCCTTACCGTAAGCAGTCAAACTAGGACATAATTCCTTCTAGACGTCCCTGGCCATTGGTGAGAATAGAGGCAAGAGACTGTTTCCACTACAGCTGTGAGGAGACAGCCAAAGTGAAGGAGGAGTTAACTCTCTCTCTTCTTTCACTGCTTGCATATGTATCACTTTTGTTTTCCCTACCTTAAAAAAAAGGTGAAGGAAGAAGAGAGAGAAATTTTTTTTTAATTTTAATATTTTATTGTCTCTATACAGCTACAGTGGCAGGATATGTTTTTAGGTTTCTTTTTTCATTCTGATAAAGTGGCATTTTTCTTGAGAGGTACAGAAGTATCTTCGGGATGTTGTAAATCGAAAAGCCATGCCCTGGAGCAAGTAATAATTAATTTCTTTAGCACATCAGAATATTTATAACAACTGAGGCTGGTTGATTCCTGTATTTGATTATTTATTGTCTCCTATACTTAATCTGCAGCTGCTGTTCTGAGTGAGTTGCAGGAAACATTTTGCACACTCAAGACCAGTCTGTGCCATCACTGCGGTAGGAATGTCTTGGCACTGGTAGTAAGGACTTATCCTGTCACACCCCTTCTGGGACTGTCGCCCCCCCCGGTTCTGCTGCACTACCAAGTGTCTTTTCTGGATCTTTTTGTTACACATTTTTAATATATGTGGGTTCAGAATAACGTAGTAAATGAATGATGCATGCAGATGTTAAGAAAGATCAGTAACAGTTCAGTGGACCAAACTGAGCCACCTGTCATAAGCCAGCATTTTCTCTATTCATGGGAGAAGAGGTAGGAGTAGCAGAATGATCTTCTGTATATGTTTTTAATTTTTTTCCAGAGACAGTTTGGATGTGGAAGTTAATCACTCTTGGCACAGTTAACCAGCTACACTCTTCCTCCAGACCTGCTGTGATAAGTAGCTACTGTA